TATATATATATATAAAATACATTATAATTATTGATTCAATTTAATAATTTTATTACTTAATAAATGTATATATATATTTATTAAGTAATTTATTAAGTATATATATATATATATATATATATTAAGTAATAAAATTATTAAATTGAATCAATAATTATAATGTATTTTTTATTTAACTTAACCTAAATGAATGTGTTAAATTTGACAGTATTTGACACCCAACTGGGGTGGAAGCTGAGGTGGTATGGGAATTTTTAGGGGTGGCAGCTGCCACACCATGTCTCCCCTCTGGATCCGCCCCTGCCCCTGATCTCTGGAACTTACAATAATGTTATTCTTATAATGGTCACATTTATGTATGAGATCATAGATCAAAAGCAGAAACAACATCCTTATTAAACAATCACATTCCAACACCACAAGCACTAAAGTCTGACTGTCATGGCAAAAGACGCCCATCTGCACACTTGTGTGACATAAAATCCATGAGCGACAGCGTAAACAGCCTCTTCAAACACCCGGCCAGATAAGAAATGGAAACCAGTTTCTTCACACTGTATTGTACAGGAAACAAAATGTGTTGATGTGAAAACAGAGAGAATAGCACAGGCTGTGTTGACTAAACAGGGCCAAAGTGTCACAGTGGCAACAGGTTTTGTCATACCAACTCCAAGGTTAAAGCCTCGCCCCGCATCTTCAGGGGTCAGCAGGTTTCCACTGACGTAAAATGTTATTTAGGTAACATCAACACTGAAAAGCCAGGAGGACAGGGAGAAGCTGCTGAAAATCTGTCCAAACCCTTATTTTTCACCACACTACAGAAATAGAACACTTAATCCTGGATTGGCAGTAAACATTGGATGCATGCCATCTGCAGGATCAGGTACACACATCCGTGATGTTTAAAGTTTATCTTTTGCTTACTGACAAAGAAAAAACTATAGTGTTAATAGTAGCACGTACCCTGCACTCAACCACCAGTGTCAACCCTCCATTCACACATGAGCACCATCAGCTACTCCAGATGAGCCGACTTTGATGGACCAGTAAAAGTGTCCCACTCTGTCCATGCAGACACAGGAAGTTCCAGTCTGGAGTTTGACTGCAGGTTTGAGGACAGATTATTAAATCCATCTTTCACTGTGGAAACACAAATGGCAAAGTCAGCTGCCTGCATGACATGATGAGACAGGAATACTTGAACAGGAAGTCATTATGAAAGCTTCAAGACAGATGATTCACACTGTGGTTGTATCAACATATATTACACACTAACACTACGGCTTAATTTGACTTTATTAACAAAATCATAAACATAACAGCCAATAAAAATCGGTCAACCACATACCACATGCTCCCAACCACAGTGGTTTACTGCAATGGTTGTTAAAAAATTAAATAAACTTTTAGAAACACGAATGCTAAGACAAACATGCTTCTGCTGGTCACTACAAGTACTGAAACCCAACCGTCTTCATAATATAGTTCATTTTGCTTCTAAAATACAAGAAATGTATGTATGTAATATTCTAACATGAAATTATAGAAAACACAGACCATTGTAACCCTAACCCTATCAATCCAATCCGAATTCGGAAAACTACTGCCAATTAAACTTAAACCTGAAACAATATTTGATCAAATACATTTTTGGCCACTTGAGGGCAGCGGAAACAAGTTGGGAACACAACACTGAGATATCAGCACCTTTAAGTTGATATGGTGAACTTTAACAAACAGTGTCTCATTCAGCAGTTACTGAACAACATTATCAATCATTCTGGCCACCTGATGAATTTAAGTCGAATATTCACTCTCTTTAACCCTGTTGTTGGTCTCGACCAACTTCTGAGAGAAATGTCTGGCTCTTAAGCTGCTAATGCTCAAAAGATAGTCTCCAACAAAAACAAGAGCATCACTTTAACAACAGCCTGTCAGAAGTTGTTTTCACCTTGGTTTGAGTAGTGTGACACCGTTTTCCTCCTCGCAGACATGTTTACTTACTCCTACCCCTCCATCACGTTCCCTCCTTCCTAGCTGCAGTAACAAACGTCAGATGAGTAAATGTGTCTTATCGTGAGGCCGGGGACACGTAGAGAGCCGATTGTAAGGAGGAAACAAACCTGGCGAACTCCTCTTGATGCAGCTTTATCTTAAATTAAAGTTAAATTCTTGGCAAAGAAATGAAACGTTAAAATAACTCATGGAAGTTTTTCACATTTCTGTTCACTCGGCACTGAAATGGACCAATCAATCAATCGTATTGGCTTTTAAATGTCCTCTAAGGGCAACTAGGAGGAAATACGCTCACGAAACCAAAATATTCTCCTCAGAAATGTAACTTTTTAGGGTTAATTTCATTGTAGGAACAGCAGTGACGGGATCAGACACAAACGATTACCTTGTGGAGGATGAGTGGGCACTCCAGGCCGCATTTGCAGGTTCCATCTGTCAGCAGGTAGGTCTTCACCTGCTCCAAGCTGGACAGCAACGAGCCGCTGGGACTGCACAGAAAACAACCGCCACCACGTTAGAGGAGACTTCAGCGGAGATATTACATGTGGCTGCACTTATTTGTGTTGTTTAAAGTCGTTTTTTGCGTGTTATTTAATATTTTTTGGACTGCAAGCTTCTGAAAAAACGATAAAGTTACGATTAACTGAACATTATTGTGCAGAAATTAGTTAATTTATATTATACGGGTTTAGTTATCCAGCCACACATTTATTCCTGACTCAAAGGAGGAAAATAAACCATAAATAATAAATAATAAAGGTAGTTTATTATCTAATCGCTGAATATTTAAATGCAGACAGTAACTAATAAAGCTGGAAAATTAAGAAACGAGAGGGAGCTTTGAAGAATAGAGGAAACCCTGAAACAGATCTCCTGTACAAACATTTTCTTTTGTAAATATCTACGTCCCCCCCTGAAGCGAACGCACCCTTTCAGTGTAAAAGCACGAGCAAAAACAAGTGTGCGGTGACAGTATCAGGCCACGGTCACAGAAGCAGACGGGATTCTTTCCAACACCAAAAATAAACCCGACACCAGCCGACTGCTTCGCTTCATTGTGGCTGGTAAATACACCCGACTCATGAGAAAGTCCGCTGTTGCACGATGATATTAGATGTTTTCTTCATCAGAGAGGTCGATTCAAAGTTAACTTTACACTAATTCGCTTTGTCAAAAACTCCCACAGCCTCTCTGAGCTGCCACAGTCGAGCTAAAACGATTCATTGACGAATTTAAAGCAGATTTGTCGGTAAAGATCATTTAAAAATTCACTTTCTTAAACAAATGTTCATGCAAACAAAACAAAGATAAGAAAAAGAAATAAAACAACCGATATATCATCACTTTCCTCTTGCTAATTAATTTATTCTCTCTTTATTTTTTTCTTTGACCGAAAGCCTGAAGCTTATTTTGTCTCCTTCTTTTAAAAAAAAACATAAATTAAATGTCGTCAAACTAAACTTTCGTCATTAGCAGTGACTTTTAAACACGACAAAGTAAAATAAATGAACAATTTAAGTCCTCGTAACAAACCTGGATTCACAAAATCCCCTTTTCTAACGTTTGATTGCAGCTTCTTCAATGTGACTAAAATATAAAGATCTATTAATAAATCTGCAGCAGACTCTCTCGCGCTCAAACCCGCTTCCTCACCTCACGTAAACGACGCCGCCGCCGTGCTCCGCCTTGCGCTGCCAGCCAATGGGGACCTGGACAGGGACGGCCTGCCTGTCGTCTCCCGCCTCGCAGTCCTTTCCTCCATTCATTGCTCCGCTGGTTTTACGCTCGACACCTCAGAGGTACATATATCAGACATCAACCAGCGTCTTCGCAATGCACGTCATGTTCGTCTTGACCCTACCCTTCGAGCTGCTTCATGGCACGTGGACGCCCATTACTGCATCTTGTCGTTCGGCGCCGGGCGACTCGGGGAAGACGCCGGTTCAGTCGGGAGTCGGCGTGCGCTGCGCTTTCTGCGGGGAAGTGTTTTTTATCAGTTCTTTACCATTTGTGTTTCGCCGCCCTCAGTGGGAGTGGAGTGTGTTCAGTAATGGTATTCCCATCGTTCCTGTGTGGGGAAGAAAGAAGAGGAGACATAAATTAATGAATAATGTCTGTTTTTATTTATTTGTGTTAGTAGAAGTTCTTAATTTTAAAATGGAAATGTTAGAAAAGCTGTTTTTAAAATGTTTTATTTCAACCGCAGATCCAGAAAAACACAAAAATGAGGAATCCCAAACTTCTTTATTCGGGTCGGTTTCATGCCGACACATTCTGACATTGATTTGCGAGCAGAGTCACACTATTGATTAGCTCCACACAAAGGACCGGATATTAGAAGATATTACAGTTTTTTATCGTCATTGCAGTGGAGCTGCAGCTGTAAACACAAACAAATGTACAATAAACAATAAACGTATATTTTTATACCATGGCACGCGGCGGTATCGGTAGATCACTGGTCGATTAACTGATTCATTGATTGGCAGCTGATCAAATTTAATAAATACTTTGTTATAACATGTTATATATATTATGGGATGTCACGATTTTGTTGTTTTGTTTGGTCAATCAGAGGCTTTAAGCAGAAAAACACTATTCTGGTTCCTTTTTCTTTAACCTCATTTTATTTATTATTATTTATTTTAAGTCCAATCTGAAATGTATTCTTAATATTTCATCATCTGCTGAGGAATAGCTTCTTGTCTCTCTCTTTTTTACAATAAACTCAAAGATGAGCAGCAGACTTCACAAAGCCGACGCTGATCCTGAACTCACAGGTCAGCTCAGGATATCGAACAGCTGGTTGAACATCATAAACAGTAAATAACATCCAATAATAACCCAATCTTAGCCGGGTATCTGAGCCGAGTGTGTGAGTGACGGAGCTGCTGACTCATAACTGCCCTGTGAGCTGCGGAGACCAAACGACAGAGGACGAGAGCGACCACGTACACGCTGTTGATCTGGAAACACGCAGCAGCGACAGTCGCACCTCGTCGTCTCGGGAGGAAAAGGTTTTAAAAAAAGGTTTCTGTTTGCTCGAATCAGAAAGTGTCTTTTAAAATGTTTTCATCTCAACCTTTTGGCAAAGCGACACTCTTTAAATGTGCCACCTCGTTAACGTGAAAGCACAGATTTAAATCTCGACCGACGCAACATTTACTGCTTTTAACGTTACCTTTTTTTGGCCTTTTCACATTTATTGTTCACAGTGCACGAACGCCGCGGCTTTTTAACGGAGAAAGACGGCGGGGAACGTTACATTTTAAAGTTTGTGTTGAAGTGCTGTTAACTACACGTGATACGCAGAGACAGAAAACAGCGATTAGAAGAGGTGTAATCATTCAAAGTGATCAGCGACTGATCAGGCCGCAGCAGAAAGACAGAAGAAAGGATTATAAAAGGTAAAAAAAAAGGTGAAAGTTGAACATTTCTTCCCCTTTTTAATATTAGAACTTTTTTTTAGTGAGTAAAGAACTAATTTTGGCACAAAACTGTCTCGTTCGTGACGGGAATTCACACAGTTTGGCCTTAAAGCAGCTGCAAAAGGAGAAAAAAAAGACATAAATACAAAAGAGACTTACAGCTAATGCAGTCAGAAAGAAAAAAAAAATGTTTTTAATAAGAAACTGCATCAAAATGACAAGTGGAAGCAGAGCCAAAGGTTGAGTAACTGAGTTTGCGGTCCATTAAGAAAGGCAGCTTATGTAAATTAAAGTCTCAGCGTCCAAATTTTAAAGAAATCAGACAAAGTAGCTGGCGTGCGTTTCATGAAACGGTTAAGATGTTTTCTTTCTCTCCTGCCCTTAAAGGGATTAAAGAAAAGAAACGGCAGTATATAATCGCAATATACTGAATCATCACCTCGTAATTGTACCGCCAGACTCTTGCCAGTACACAGCCCTAGTCACAAACGCCACCTCTGAGCTTTTGGTGCATTTCTATCTGCGTTTATAGTCCACTTGTGATCAGATCTGTAAAAAAACACATGCATTTAGTGCAAAATGAACAGGGTTGTCAAATAAAGAGAGAGTGGAGAGAGTGGTACCTGCACAAAGCATGTAGTGTGTGTGGAGAATAACCCCAGGCTTGATTTAATATATATATATATAATAAAAAAGGTGTAGGACAAACTGTGCAACAGCCTTTCAGTGGAGCTAAAAGCTAAATTAAATCCATTAATTCTCAACCTTTAAATCTGTCTGTAAGCCCGTGGGGGCTGAGAGACACAGTCCTGCAGCAGCCTTCAGAAGTTGACAGCTACACAAGTCGATAGCGACATGACAAGACTTTTTCTGCCCACTAAAGCCCGGAGATGGTGTAACATTAACAAACCACCATACCTGCTCCACCGTTAGCATCAACTGTGCCAAGTGTTTCTCCCAGTGGCTGAAAGAGACTCCACCGTCTGCGGGCCTCCGCGTTAAAGTGACGATAAATACAGAAAAGTGGCCGAATCAACCCATCTGGGTTAGCGACCAACCGTCAGCTGAGCCAGCCGTTAGTTAGGCAGCCGTTAGTTAGGTATCTGTTTGTTAGCCAGCCAAACGTTGGTTACGGTAGGCCGTTGGTTAGGTAGCCGTTGGATAGGTAAGCCGTTGGCCAGCAGCCACCGTTTAGTTAGGTATCTGTTTTGTTAGCCAGCCAAACGTTGGTTAGGTAGCCGTTGGTTAGCCAGCCAACCGTTGGTTAGGTAGCCGTTAGTTAGCCAGCCGTTGGTTAGGTAGCAGTTAGTTAGCCAGCCAACCGTTAGTTATGTAGCCGTTGGATAGGTAGCCGTTAGTTAGGTAGCAGTTGGTTGGCCAGCCAGCCGTTGGTTGTGTAGCCGTTGGCTGTGTAGCCGTTGGTTGTGTAGCCGTTGGTTAGCTCGTTGTAACGATAATGAATTAGAGGGCGAGCTCGGCTACGCTAATAACGTTTTAGCATTTAATTGGTGAACCGTAGCCGGGGTCGCGCACGTTCAGGACCCAGCAACCGGATCCAGACTTTAAACTGTCGAAGTAAAAAAGCAGCAAGGCCCGAGTTAGGTTTTTTTTTTTTTTTTTTTAAAGCCAAGGGGGCCAGGCCGGGCCGGGCCAGGCTAAGCTAGGCTAGGCTAGGCCCGAGTTAGCACGGGTTAGCCGCCTAGCATTGCTAGCTAACAGCCGTGCAAACCCCGTTGCGTTTGCAGAGAGAGAGAGAGAGAGAGAGAGAGAGAGAAGAAGAGAGAGAGACGCTTTTCAGGCACTAACGCTTCTGTCTGCGTCAAATCAACCCGTAAACAGCCCCTTCTTACCCGGGCATCCCGGCGAGTGCATACCGGCGGCGAAACCGTGAAACGGCCGAGCAGCGGAGCGTTAGTGACCTCTGTAGAAATCAGAAGAAGCAGCTACCCATTAGTCCTCTCCATTAGTGCTCTCCATTAGGTCTCTCCGCCGCCGCTGCTGCTGCTGCTGCTACACTGGGATATTGGGAAGGATGGAGAGCCGCACTGCGCATGCGCGGGCCGAGCAGCCAGCAGATGGGAGAGGTGATGCTCTGGGATTCATGAGCTCCTAACAGTGGGAAAAGTTTGGGATGAACTGGATCAGCACGTTGAAAACACTGGAGGACAACAGAGTTTAAGATTGTAAACCCTCTGGTGGTAGTTTTGGCTTCACAGATTTTAAAAAATTCTGTTTATAATTACATATAATTGCCAATCAGTGTCATGAAATGCTATAAACCTCCAGTCAGAATTTAGAAAGAAGACAGTATATAATGTAGGTTAACTATAAACCTGAGTGTTATTGACATTATTTTACATAATATATTTGCTTTTTATTGGTGAAATACTATTAATTAATCCAAAATTTGGTTTAATTACTTGATTACAGTATATAAAGTGTATACAAACCTCCAAATGTAGTCAGAATTTAGAAAGAAGACAATATATAATGTAGGTTAACTATAAACCTGAGTGTTATTGACATTATTTTACATAATATATTTGCTTTTTATTGGTAAAATACTATTTCTCTAGACAATTAAGGCTTACTTTTTGAATACTTGTTGGATGGTAAACTGCCAAATATATTTAAAAGACGTTTTTAACAACAAAATAAATCGACGAAGACTATGAGGCGAGGTTGAAAGGTTGTGATTTCACTGATTTTTGTGAGTGAGTGAAACAAGCACAGATAATTTCTGCATTTAAAGCTGCTGATGCCCCAAAAATGTTGCACAGAATCACAGATATTAACGTTGTTTCTGCCAGGGTTAAACAAGGCGTGGGAAGAAGCATTTAAATTAAATTAATTAATGTTAAACTTGAAGTAATTATGGTGGTGTAATGATTTACAAAGTGGCTGACGGATATATATATAAATATATATGTATGTATTTTAGCTGGCATCTGTATAAAACAAGGTACAACAAGATTATCATTATAATTTGTCAAAAATAAAATTATAAATCTCTATAAAAAGCTATTTTCAAGTACGTGCATCTGGAGATGAATAGAAACTAATGTCTGCATGGAAGAAAGGGGGTTAAAAATGAAAAGAGGGTATTCTTTAAAGCACACAAACCTCGGTATGAAGCAGAAATTTCACCTGATTATCTCATAATCAAAGTAAGTATTCATTGTCAAGGTTAAAGAAAGTAATCACCCTCTCGTTAGTGTAATAAAATGCACTAATAATAACCCCATTAACAGTAAAATAGTTATCTTACTAATAGCTTGGAGGTATTGTGTTATATTAATGAGGCATATCGTGTTAATTAGATTATTACACTGTTAGGCTGCAAATTGTTGTAATGTTAATAATTAATTACATTAATTGGAAGGTTCCACATTAAAACTTTTATCACCGGCTGAATCATCACTTATCGTTTATTATGAAACATCCATGATACAAAACAGGATACAAAAAAAAACTACAATTCTTAAGCCAAGCAAACTGCTGGTGGGATTATTGAACAGAAAACACCAGTAAGGTTGTTTTATTGTGTTGATTTCACAGTTAAGATGAAGAAAATCTGCAGATATAAAACATACGGCGGCACTGAAGCACAAAAAGTACAGATAATTTCTCAGGACAAATAAAAGGGCAAAAGAAAAAGGAAGATTCAGTCTTCTGAAGTGAAAAGAAGATGCTGCTCAGGCTGCAAATGCTTGAGTTTTGTCTGAAGGTCAAACCCGAGGAGACATTAAATTAATTCAGTGTACGGCTGCTGTAAAAAGGACCGCTTCATGTATTTTTAAGGGCAAACACAGAGCTGAATGTGCGAGCGGAGAGTTGTATTTTAGAATAATGTGACAGGCTAAATGTGAGCGCAGACTGGGAGACGATTTGCGAGATATCTAGTGGTGCCTTTTTTTTTTTTTTCATCAGTCAACCCAAAAGCCACAGGAAGCGTTTAAGTATCTCCAGAACTGCATCATCATTGTGAATGAGTAAAAGATGTTTGTTATGCAGGCAACCAGCGGGCCGCTCAGATGAACCACCCCTCTTTATTTGATCAAAATCAGAGCAGCAGTGGTAGTTTTGGCTTCACAGATTTAAAAAAATCTGTTTATAATTACATATAATTGCCTCTGTTAAGGGCAATCAGTGTCATGAAATGCCACAAACCTCCAAATGTAGTCAGAATTTAGAAAGAAGACAATATATAATGTAGGTTAACTATAAACCTGAGTGTTATTGACATTATTTTACATAATATATTTGCTTTTTATTGGTAAAATACTATTAATTAATCCAAAATTTGGTTTAATTACTTTATTACAGTATATAAAGTGTATACAAACCTCCAAATGTAGTCAGAATTAAGAAAGAAGACAATATATAATGTAGGTTAACTATAAACCTGAGTGTTATTGACATTATTTTACATAATATATCTGCTTATTATTGGTAAAATACTATTAATTAATCCAAAATATGGTTTAATTACTTGATTACAGTGTATAAAGTAAGTGTATACGTATATAGTTTCATCTGTTTTCTTAAAAAAGGCTCATTTCCTAAAACAGCTGGTTAATGTAGTTTTTAGTAAGTGTTCCTCAAGCAGCAGGATTTGTTGGGGACTATTTTCAGCTGCGGATTAATACACATTTGGGGCAGGAGGATTATTATTAGTTATGTTTTCATGCAATAGTGTGGCTCCTCGATGTGTTAATACAGTTTTAAAACAACAATGACATGTGTGAGATACACAGACAATGATTATTAACTAGATCAATTAATTGTATTTTAATGCGATTTGTTGACAGTAAGAAAAATACAGAACATCGCCAGTCTTTTGCTTTAAGGAGGAGAGATATAGTAAAGTTAAACTTTAATGTTGTATCATGTGTAACAGATTTAAACAACCTAAATAGCAGCTATTAAAAAAAGTGATTAGTCTGAGCCTCAGCCAATCAGAGCCGCGGAATCAGGCAAAACCGGAAGTCGTCACCGCTGGCAGAGCAGTTTTCCCGCGAAGATTGAGAGCTGAGTTTCCTGGTTCCTCCCGGTAAGTCTGGTTATTGTGGTGTTTAAATACTCTGCCGATGTTGAACTAACACTTTGATTGAACCGGTTTCACCTCGCTGAGACAAAAAGCTTGTGTTAGCGCGCTGCTAACGAGCCCCGGTTTACTTACAACGCGGGAGGAGATAGTGACACCAGACTCCATTCATAAATTACAGCAGATTAGTGCATCCTTGCTTGCAGGCAAATATTAACACACTGTTCGATACAACCTGTGATCAATTCTGACTAACTACGAGTTAATTTATAATTCGGCATATAAAACCATCCACTGAGGCTTTTAATAAAATGATTATATTGTAAACACACATCAAGAGGGAGGATTAAGGTGGACGTTGTATTCAAATAGATGTTTCTACTTGCATTAGCTGTATGCCGAATTGAATTGGGGGTTGTCTTCATTTAATTATAGTGCTTGGTTAATGTAAGAACATTAATGCATGTGTCACAGAGCGAGATCAGTTTTGTTTTGACGGATTATGAATTGGAGTTTGGCGTAAAAGTCCAAAGACTGTCAGATATCTGGTTTAAGGCTGTGCAAGCCACTGTTGGTGCATTTATGTGACACATGAGTAACATTTCTTAAGGTTTCACATCTACATGAGATTAAATACAGAACTGTAGCGAAGCAGAAAGTAATTTGGATCTTATTACTCTCAGTAATTGCACATTTTGGGCACTACAAATGTCACCCATTCTGTGTTTCAGTCACAGCACCATGAGCAAGAGGAAGGTGACAGATGCTCATTTGCCAGTAGGAGAATGCATCACACAGGTTGGTATCAGCCTAACTTGTTTTTATGACTGTTGGTCACAATTATTGACATTAATTTGAGCGACAGGCTGGAAAGCATGGTTTAATTTGTACACTTTCATGATAATATGTGATTTTAATGTCTTTATTCATCTTCGTTTTCAGGTTCAGGAGATTTTAAGGGAGCGACTTTGCTGTCAGAAGCTCCCTGACAGGCCGGAGGGAGTGGAAGCTCAACACAAGTAGGTTTATTTCATCAATGCTGGTTAGAAAGTCTCTTTTATTATTATTTTATTGTGTTCTTTAGGTGACCTTTCATATTCTGTTGGCTCAAATTAAATTTCATGGATGTGGTCGAGAAAATCTGACCTGAAATTAATTTCCATGTGTTTTTAATCAAAATTAGAAGAGCTGTAAATGAGGTAACAAAGCAAAAACAAAGAGTAGAGAATGGATTTATTGTTTCAGCTGTCGTTCAGATGGAGATTTAGGTAATTTCCAGGTCTTGATTAGTTTAAAAATACACATCAAATGTTACATAATTACAAAATCCTGTAGTTGGAAGGGGGCAAGATGAATGTAATCTGCACAAAATGAAAGAAAAATACCTGAATTTTTAAATGGAAACTGTAGTAGGATCGTCAGTGTGAGTTTCAGTGACCCAGTTCAGTCTCACCTGGCTGACAGCACTGTCCCAGTTTGTGGGCTGGAAAAGCTCCAGGTCCCAGCTGACTCGGAAACCACACATCCCAGGTGTTGGTCTCCGGAGCAGGTCGAGAAATCCACCTCCAACACTGAGGGTTTAATCGTCAGCACTCATTAGACGGGCCTGTTACTGCGGGGGGGTTTACTGGCTCAAAGTCAGGAAAAATACATTTCAAAAGTGTCTAATTTATCTATAGAAATCATTATTTTCCACAACTGGAGGAGAATTATGGGTATTGTAGTCAAAACACTGTATTTTCAGACACCTCCTGGAGCTGCTGAAGCGGACGGGCGTCCACGGGGAGAGTAACTCGGTGCTAATCGTCGGCCCCAGGGGAGCCGGAAAAACAATGGTGAGCCTCCGCAGCCAGAACCAAGCTTAAAATGGATATAAATATATAAATAAAAGATGATAAATTGTGTTTTAAATCCAGGGAGGGTTGAGTTGTCTGATGGTGTCTGTGTTTTTGTGTCTGCAGCTGCTGAAGTGCGTGTTGAGAGATCTGTTAGAGGACAAAGAAGTTCAGAAAAACCTGCTGCAGGTCCATCTCAACGGTACTGCACACCAAACCTAATGTTATTTATCCAGGTTTTAAGGACCTGAATGCTTAAGAGATCTCTGGGTGTTGTTCCCTATGGCCACAGAAGATATTCAACCAGGGTTCATACAGAAACTAGAAATAAACCTAATAATATATTTATTTATTTAAAAAAAAGTCCAGATAAATAGATTTCTTTTTGCTGTAGGTCTCCTGCAGACGGACGACAGAATAGCGCTTAAAGAAATAACGCGGCAGCTCCACCTGGAGAACGCTGTCGGTGACAAAGTGTTTGTAAGTATTTGGAAACAGTTTTATTAACAGTTTTTGTGATAAACGATTATTAAAAATGCTCCGAAAACCAGTTTCTGTGTACATTTTTAGGGCAGTTTTGCAGAGAATCTGGCTTTCCTGCTGGAGGCATTGAAGAAAGGTTTGATTATTCATTGCTTTTTGAATTTAAGGCCATAAAGGTGTGGTTTATTGTTTGGGAGTGTGACACACGGTTGATGTTTCCCACCAGGTGATCGCAGCAGCAGCCGCCCGGTGTTGTTCGTCCTGGATGAGTTCGACCTGTTCGCCCACCACAAGAACCAGACGCTGCTCTACAACCTGTTCGACGTCTCCCAGTCTGCCCAGGCTCCCATCGCTGTGGTCGGCATCACCTGCAGACTGGTGAGCCTCTTCAAACTTTACGAGACAATACTGCTTGTTCTTTCCCTGTAATCTAGTGTTAATGAATCTGTGGCGGTTCATTTCCCTCCAGGATGTCTTGGAGCTGTTGGAGAAGCGGGTGAAGTCGCGGTTCTCCCACCGTCAGATCCACCTGCTGAGCAGCCTGACGTTCCCTCAGTACCTGGAGCGGGTCCGGACCCAACTCAGCCTGCCGGACGACTTCCCCGACGGCAAGTTCGCTGAGGACTGGAACGCCAGCGTAAAGGTGAGCCTGGTAATGTTTTGTGTCCTGGTTGTTGCATTACTTTGACCTTGAGGGGGCGCTGGTGGGATTTTACAGGAACTAGGAGGCAGTTTGAAGCATCTTTCTGTTTGTTTTGTCTTCAGACTCTGTGTGAAGACAAATCAGTTGAGGACGTTTTACAGAGACACTTCAACTCCAGCAAGGACGCCCGCTCAATGCACATGCTGCTGGTACGACAGCTTCACATTATGTCTCCTGTTTCCTCCTCAACTCTCCAGTCCTCTGTCCACTTTCCTGTTCGCCTTTCTTTTCTCCTGTTTTCTCTTCTTTCATCCTCTCCTATCCTGATCTCTATTTCTCCCTAGCCTCTCCCATTTTCTTCTTTCATCCTCTAATATCACCACCTCTACAGTTATCCTCCTCTCTTTTTGGCAGTTTCTAGTCTATTTGTGTTTTCCTTCACCAGATGTTTTGTCTGAGTCGTGTGTCTGTATCCAGACCTGCCATCAAACCTGCAGACCTGCTGGAGGCCAGCAGACTGTGTTTTGCGGACGCCAAGGCCAATATGCTCCACGGTATTAACAAAAGAACCAGAATGAAGAGAGAAACGTCTTCCACACGTGAAGCACTGCAGTCATTTCACATCTGTTACATTCGTTTTCTACAGGTCTGTCCATCTTGGAGCTGTGCCTGATCATCGCCATGAAGCACCTCAACGACGTGTATGAAGGAGAGCCGTTCAACCTCCAAATGGTTCACAACGGTACGACGGGATACTTCGCTTGTTTCTGGCACCCGGAGGAGCTGTGATAGCGACGCAAAGTGTCATTTACAGGAGAGCTGTTCAACCCTCCGGCGGCTCGAAGTGACGACACGGAATCTGGCTTTTAGTTTTTATAAGCAACTACAATAAAAGCAGGAAAAGGGGAGTTCATGTGGCTGCAACTTAAAACCCAAAAGCTTTGCTCTCTCATCGAGTATCTCTTTTGAATTTATCGGCAGTGCTTAGGCAGATAAAAAACTGACTGACTAGTTATTTTGGATACAGAAAACCATTATACAAAGATATACTTGACAAACCTACGGTACTTTTTCCATTTACTTATTTTTCTTGAGTATTCTTTTTTTTTTTCTGAGAAGTAACTACAGTAAGGGGTCTCAATTTAACAAATTAAACAGTCAAAACCGATCAACAAGGAAAATAACACCAAGGAGAATCAAATATCTGCCAGTGTGTCATTTCACCTGTATGTGATTCTTCCTGTTTTTTTTAGAGTTCAAGAAGTTCCTACAGAGGAAGTCGAACTCCATGTACAACTTCGACCAGCCTGTCATCATGAAGGTGTGTATATTCTATTTTATAGGCTGGATATAAATGTAAAGACGGGACACGAGCACTTTCCAAAGCAACCCCTCACTCCCTGACTCTCGCCCGTCCTCAGGCCTTCGAGCACTTGCAGCAGCTGGAGCTGATCCGACCCGTCGACAGCTCCTCGGCCAAAATTCAGAGGGAATACCAGCTCATGAGGCTCATGATAGACCACAGTCAGATCATGGAGGCGCTGCAGAAGTACCCACAATGCCCCACTGACGTCAAGCAGTGGGCCATGTCGGCGTTCGGCTAACGTACGCACAGCTCGAACCAAGGGCCAAAATTAAAACTATCCGCGACTTGAACCAGGGAGAAGACACGACTGTTACATCTACACCAGGAGTGCTTTTGTTTCACGTCAGGATTATTTTACTCAAGAGTATTAAGTTTGTTGTGGAGCAGAGTTAGTCACTGTAAATTATCAGGAAATAAAAGGTGAGATTTGTGCTTTTTGTGTATTTTCTTGATGCATTTCACCCGAAGAAATCAGTTTATGTAAAGAAATTCACTTGCAGACTTATTTTAAATTATCTACAACAAAACTCTAATAATTTCACAATATCCAGCTTTTTTTCTACAAACTGTTACTCAATTTTCTGTTACAAACTTTCTGTAAGCCTTTTAAGTTTGAAAACAAAAAAGGGATTTTTATAAACTAAAGAAAAACAAGAAATCTGTTATGTAATTTTTACCATCATTTAGCACAAATTTCTTACAGACTATTGGAAAGGGCTGGAGTTTGGAAACAGGCAGCTGGCTGGTGTCCGCACTTCATCTGCTGAATGCTGCCATCCAGTGGTGTAAGTCTGCAGGAAAACATGAGCCTGGACAGGAGGGACACAAACCCTCTTTAGATCAAAGAATGCAGTTTTAATTTCTGGCTAAAAGCCTGAACAGTTCTTCTGATTGAAACAGGCGTTTGGCTTCCTCGGTCCTGCAAAGAAGTTTTCATTTAAAAGCATGCAACAATAAATACACCTGTTTTTAAATTCAATTTACTTCATAAATAAATGATCTTGACTTGTGTCCCTCCGGTACATTTTTAAAAGTCTTACTCAAGGACACATGGAGGAAAATCTCATTCCGCTCTTTAAAAGATGTTTCTGATCCAAACCTGATTACATAAAGGCTGAATAGAGGTTTTGTAATATTCCTTGAATGGAAAAGAACACTTAAGAAGAACATATCAAAAGAACAAATTTTCCTTTCTTGTTAACATGAAAATGCAGTTTCAATGTTGTAGCTGGCCTAAATACTCCTTTTGTTATATTTTATTTAATCATTATGTTTTGTACATAACTAATAACACTACAGGTCCTTAATGTCCAAATAATTACCTAATACGTTTCCTGGAAAGGAAATATAACTTGGTACTTTCTGCAAGAAAGAATAGTACTCTCATTAATTAACTCCAATGAATTGCTAATGAGTCTTTTAGTCGGTACATAGTATGAAATTTGTCAAAAGGCAAGCAATTCAACATATATGAACAAAGTTTTAAATAATAAATGAATATGAACTTATACTTGGGTTTAAATTTGACTTCTTTTTCAAGAAACCTCCCAGGAAAATAGAAACCTGTCAAATAAAGGGCGTCTTAACTCTTAATAGGAATGAAGGAAAGAAAAACATCAGCATTCACAATCTAAAAACACATTTATTTACATCACATGGATCACTTCAGCTGATAAAAACCATTAGCCGAGAGTCGCAGCGCTGATCGGGGATCAATGTAGTGTCCTCTGTGATAATGTACCCAGGGTTTCTGACGGGTTCTTTCCGCTATAATACTTACTGAAGAGAATTCTCTGTTCTCCAATCCTCCCTTGTCCCTTCACGGGGAGGTCAGAGGTCAGGGTGAGAAACCCTGGAGCTGGCAAAAACTCACTGTCTCAAGAACACATAGTGGGATGCTTTTGTTGTACTTCCTACACATTTTCTAGTTTGAAATTCCAGACCGTGTCCTATATTCACATTTTTTTGTCAGTAACATAAAACGTACAGTCACGTGTATCAGGAATAAAGAAACAAGGCATTTTCATCATTTTAGAGACTTGTTTTTTCTTTTATATGCAACCCATTAAAGTTTCAGGACCAAAAATGATCAGATGTATCACTTTCTTCCAGCTTTGAAAACCAGAAACCATGTGAGCTTCACTACCATTAGAGGCTGCGTTGGCAGATCCTGGATGAGCGCTGTAACTCGAGAGCCTCGAGAAATGTGGGGTCAAAAATGCTTGTAGTGTTTTGGGGTTTTTTTTGTAGAAATTTCAGGCCTGGCAACCAAGACTAATCCTGCTGCCAAGACGGTCTTGGCGGCGAGGTCATTGGAGTTCAATGTTTCCTCTAAAATTCTTACCAACAGTGGGGAAAAAGCAGGAGATTGAGATGCTGGAATGAAATACCTGTAGCGGGTGATTGCATTATCACGTATGGAGTATTGCAATTGCTCTTAAAGAGCTTCGGGGATTCTTCAACTATCAACTATCAGGGGACCCCAGTAGGCTCCTTGAGGAACGCCCTGGGTCGAATGTTCGTCACTCGAAGAACCCTTAAGTGCTTTCTTAGATACCGTACAAAGTACTCCAATGAGCCTCTAGCTTTTAGCTTACACAAAGCTCGACTTGCTTATTTTTTCGCATAGTGAAGGACAATTTTTATGCAGCCAGGCCTCGCTGCGGAGTCAACACACAAGAAAAAGTATAAATGAATGTAGAGGAAACACTGAAGTTCAACACGCACTTATAAAGATTCAGCTCAGAGTATATAGTAAATACAGGTATTTATGTTCTCATGTCTGTACAGAGCCTAGGCTGCTTAAAATAGTGGGGGGCAACAAGACACAAATGTTTCACTGGTAGTTTATATGCACAGCAATGTGAGGTGCTGGGCTGGAGGAAGTCGAGATAGAGAACCACAAAGCCTGCAAGCCGAGACAACCCATTCATACACCTTTAAATGACCATTTTCGCAGCGTGTTTTTAGACCATAGTTGAGTCAGGATAGGTTTGCTATGATAGTCGAGACCTGAGGGGGGAAGAGGAGGTTCACAACATCTGTGATTGACTGAGAAGGTAGACAAGATTGTCTCCCAGCTCTGGATGCAGGTTTGGACAAAGACAAACAGCCCCCAGACATTTATTTTGGATGAACTGAAAGCTTCTTAAAGAATTTAGGAGTCTACGTAAAGTGTGCAGTCCTTGTTAAACTGGGCCAGAAGATGATGATACCTTTTTGACTGTTAAATCCTCTTTGAGAGCTTTACAAACAACAAACAATGCACAAAATCTTCCCATAAGGTCCACCTGCCTTTAGGGTAGGTTCACATCTTCAGCAGGTAACCGTCAAACCAAGAGGTGTATGAATGGATCTCCCGCGTGCGTTGGTTTTACTAGTTTCTACGGCGACAGGGCACAATCACACGAAACCAGCCAAACGCAAAGCCCTCTAAAAGTTACACAGGGCCGGGCTCACTCCATCAAAGTACACACAATACTGGAATCCAGGAGTCTGAAGAACATTCATTCTCGGTCGTTTGTCCATAGACTGAATAGAAAGAAGCATGTTACAGTTCATATCTTTTCTTTTTGAATTAATGAAAGTATTTCCTGAATTACAACCCACCCCAACCCCTCCCACCCCCAACCCCGAACAACAAACCGTTAATCGTGCCAACTCTGACAATTTTATTCTGAGTTGCACCTGAGCCTGATCCCCAAAAACCTCAGGGCCTGTAAATAAAAAATAAATACAACATATTAATATGCAATATTTAAAAAAAAAAAAAAAAAAAATGCTACAAGTTATTTGTGTGTGTGTGTGTGTGTATTGAAAGTCACTCCTGCAGCTGATCCTACAGAAGTGTAGGGTAAGTTTGCGGCACTGGTTGCATATAACTTGCGAAAACTTAGAAAAGCATAGTACTGAATCCCTGAATGGTATTTGTCGGTTTGGTGTCGGTTTCTCCAGCGCAGTTTAAAGTCAAGCTGTCAAACATTTTCCACCATCTATCTACAGTACTGGGATGCGACCGCCAACCATAGGTTTGTCGCCACTTTGGCAGGTAACCAACCAACATTTGGAGGCAGTTTTTTAAAATTCACTTGGCTGCTGAGATACTGGTGAGCTTTGTGTTTGAGGACATGTACTTGGGAGGGAAAAAAATTGGTAATACTGGTGTTTGTCAGCGTATGTTTAAATGGCAGGGATGCTTTTCTTTTTTAATAAGAAGCCTTCTGCTGCTGTTCAGTTATGGAACATAAAAATGAGGGACTTCTTTTTAGAAATTGGGAGTTTAGCCCCCCAAACTGAAACCTTTCTCCCACTTCAAGAACCTTTTTTATAGAACGTGGGACTTTGAATACTTTCTCTACCGGAGGAACCTGGTTTCGGTTTTGGTTTTATTTGCCACACTTCCTACCCCGAAGAAATCCCTGCGAGTGAGGTAGTACTTATTGAAGGGCTGCTGGGGTTCGCAGTACTGATCGTCCCTGACTGTTAATGCTTCATGAGGATCGTGATAATGGCTGTTTTTCTTTTTCTTTTTTGAATAGCAGTTGATTAAAAAACAGCAGCAGCAAAAGGAAGCAACACCGATGCAAATATCGTACTCATGCTACAGTAAGTAAATAAGATGATGGCTTCAACTTCCTTCAGGTTTGCGTTGTTGTTGCAGTACTTTTGAAATGCTGAAATCTCAAACTTGTCGTACTTCTACTGTCACTTCATCCTGATTTACCAAATCTTCACTATTTTAGAGGTTCTTTACTTTTTAGTTCTTCTAGTTCTCGAGTTATTTGGTGGAAAATTGCCTTGTGTTAGTCTGTAACTTGGAAATACAGTTAGAAAAGGTAGTTAAAATAAGTGCTCACAACAAATATTTAGCTCAATTTTATACTTTACTGTATGTAGTGCAGAATGGGAGGGTTTTCTTTAACTCCCCTGTCCATTAATCATCACAAATCCATTTAATTTGTTAGTGTTTCACTTGTGTCTTGAGCACTACAGTGTTTACTACGGTGTTTACTTAAAATGCTGAGTGTGTTATACAGAAAGAATAATTGCGTATTGCCTTGAATGTGAAATGGATTTGGTAAAAAGAAGTTTCTTAATGTTTGAAGTATTTCCAACCGCAAAACTTGATCTTAAAGATGCTTGATTTTAAACTGCATCTGTGAAACCGTCCAAAGCTTGAGGAGAGACTGCAGGTCTGCCGGCACCAGTTTTCAATGTCCCTCAGAGGAAATAAAGACTCAAAAATGTCATTGCTGCCTTCGCAAGCAATGACAGATACATCCGTTTTGCCTGACATCTACAAGAGTAACTAATATGGATACGTAGAAATGGCACCAGGATGAAAGAGAAAGAGAGATTCCTCGTCTCAACTCGTCTAACCGCAGTTAGCCGTGCGATCTTTTGGTTAGTCTCAGCAGGGTTAGGGTTAGCCCCAAACCATTCATTTTAGGCCTGTGTGAGGAACATAAAACTGTACCTTATCTTGTGAAACTGCTGAATCTGTCAGCTTCGAGACGGTTGTGTCTGACGCTGAAGTCATCCAGCTGCTTCCGGAGAGCTAGAAAGGTCTCGACAGATGTCCACCACCAATCAACACAGGCAAGCTGAATCTCAACAACTTGGTGACCAGACTTGTGAGTAATGTTTGGGCAACATTAAAGTGGAAACACGGGGAAAACTAACCAGATCTAAGGGGTAAGGCCAGACCAGATATTTGGTTCTAGAGGGATGATACATCGTAGTTTGACACAGACAGATGAGAACTTACTGTCAGGGCTTAGTGTTAAGATCTGGACTGCTCCTAAAGACAATAGAGACACTGTTTTTTGAGCGTGACGGCACGGCTAAACCCTGACAAGTCGAGGTGAGCCAAGAAAGAGAGAGAGAAGAAACGTAAGAATCAGCGAGAGAGGAGGTACTGCAGTCTGAGACCGGTGAGGATGAAGAGAAGGAGGTGGAGGAGGTGGTGAGTAGCAAAGATTCCTGAGGTGTATCAAAAGAGAGCAGAAAACTCTTGATAGTAATCCAAAAAAGATGTGTGCAATCAAATCAAAAGCAAGCTGGCTCAGCTAAATACAGGTATTATTCCAAAGTAGGGCTGGGTACCCCCCGGGGAAACCTCCTCTCAACCGCACCTCGAATCTGATTCCTCCACACATCGGATCCATTTTGTTAATCAGCTTCTTCTAAATAGAATCAGACCACACACAAACTGATCGCACAAAATGAGAAGAACAAGAAGAATATGAGAATCCTGAATACCTTCTGATTTGGTACCGACACCAGGCATCAAAAGGCATCATTAGTTGGTACCCAGCACTAATCCAGAGAGATATAAATACGTATACTGTATACCCAGATCTCACGGCCAAAATTAGGCTCGTCAGCGATAGATAGCCTATTATTACTCCGTTGACAATTGACACGGCAAACCAAAAAAACGGAAGAAAGAAACAAAATCACTTTAAACGACAACGTCATCATGGGGGTATGCTTTTTTTTTTCCCATTATCAGAGTAAAAATCTTAAAAAGGAGGAAATAAAATACAGAAAACGAACCAAAAAAGGAGAAAGTTGTTACTGAACGTGAGACTGAGAAAAGGGAGGAAAAAAAAAAAGGGAGAAACACTTGTTTACGGTGTGTATGGCCATGTATAATCGAGGCTTTGCTGACTACAATACCCATGAGTGTTGGTTTGGATGTCAAGAGCCACGTTTGTGGGTAGTGTGAGCAATGACTGAACAGGGAGAGGGACTAATTTAAACTGTGTCCATCTGAAGTGAGGTATACCTGGTTGAAGGAGGTTTATGGTTTTTTTTTATCGTCGTAATGCTTGAAAATGGACCCCCCCATCCCCCTCACCCCTTTAAAATAAGCTTGATTACCAAGTTGTCTGGGTCCCTAATACACTATGTACAGCAGCATTACACTATAAACATTCAGAAGCCGTTGCTTATTGGCAGAACGATAGTCGTTTCTTCAAAAAAACGCACACGAGAAAACAGCAAATGTATCCAGAGCCAGGTGCTCGTCTTTTTTTCTTTTTTCTTTTTTTACACTAAAATGCACCGAGAGTCCTGTGAAATTTCTCTGCCGGATCTTCTCTCTCCGTAGAAAACCGAGCAGAAGAGGTCGCCACCTGTCCCCCCTCCCCCCACCCCCCCCGATGTGAGTGTATGTGTATAAAAACAATACATGATAAAAGTGTTTGTCCCAGCACATCAGCACTATCACTCATCGTTTTTGTCGTCCTAATATCCTGAATCGTTTTGCTCGGGATGTGAGAGTTTCGACCGTTAAAATGTTAAAATCCTCAGGCACACATATCAAAATGAGGTGGATATCAACTGATGTGGTGAGGTGGGTGCAGGGTGTTTCCTGAACGCGAGTAGCGACCCGCACTTAAAGGAACAAAAAAAAAAAGATAAAAACGTAAAAGAAAGAAGAAAAAACTTCGCCAACCAACCAGGGTCGGCTGCTCATCCCCTCGTGTTGATCCGTGTTTCCGCGAGCTCATCCGGTGTCGGTTTGACAGGCCGATCATAAGCTGGACTCCTTGGGCGGGAGGTCCACGTTGGTCACCATGGTGACGACAGTGACGATCTCCTCCGGGCCGATGATGGGGGCTTGGCGCTGCATTTGGCTGATGCGTTCCTCGACGCATCCGGCGGACAGGCGAGCCTCGGCCTCGTGGTCCCAGCAGTCCTCGATGGTTTCGCAAAGCATAGCCAGACCCTGAGAGAGAGAGAGAGCGGGTCAACGTTACTGCCCATCAGAGCTCCACTGGTGAGCTGAGGTTACACAACTATATACTTTTTTAAAAAAAAAAACTATATTTACTGTTTTTTTTTTACTATATTTACTGGGTTTTTTTTAAATTATATTTACTGTATTTCTTTACTATATTTACTGTATTTTTTTTACTATATTTACTGTTTTTTTTTACTATATTTACTGTTTTTTTTAAATTATATTTACTGTATTTTTTGTACTATATTTACTGTTTTTTTTTACTATATTTACTGTTTTTTTTTTTTAACTATATTTACTGGTTTTTTACTATATTTACTGTTTTTTTTAAATTATATTTACTGTATTTTTTTACTATATTTACTGTATTTTTTTTACTATATTTACTGTTTTTTTTTAATTATATTTACTGTATTTTTTGTACTATATTTACTGTATTTTTTTACTATATTTACCGTTTTTTTTTACTATATTTACTGTTTTTTTTTTACTATATTTACTGTTTTTTTTTTTTTTAACTATATTTACTGGTTTTTTTAAACTATATTTACTGTTTTTTTTTTTAACTATATTTACTGTTTTTTTTTT